GGTGCAATTTTACAAAGAAGCTATGCAAATGTTTCTCTACAAGTTCGCTAATCACGTTAAGGAAAAGCTGAACAATATTATTGTTCATATATCCTATAATTCTAATTTTTAAGGTAAATTTTTTTTTTTTTTTTGCCGATAATGGTGTGTCTTTTTATGACGAAAGAAACTATTTAAAAGTTAGACCGATTCGAATAGCAAAGAAAGGCAAAGACAAAAGTTTTTTATTTAATTTATTGAAATTTGGCTGACCATACAACGCTGTTTCGAGTATTGCCAAGTACTCTTCATCAGTGGTCTTTGGAAATAATCGAATTTTTATTTAATTAGTTTATAGTCCGTATATAATTTGTTTGGACTGCAAGTGCCAGGCTTAGAACTCGTGCCTGTCAAATTAGAAGCGATGACTAATCGTCTTTATCCACAAGAAGCCAAGGCTGCACAAACATTCAATGCTCAAGTTCCAGGTTTTATTGACACTTATTTTTATTTAATTAGTGACACCAACCAAAGCACTTGCCGTGCTTTAAATTAGAACGAGCTTATAAACTACAGCTTTATTTGGAAACACAAGTTCAACAATTTGAAAGTTAATCTTTGAGCTTGCCTATTTTTGTTTCAAAGCTATTCTTTTTGTAGAGACATCTGTTATGCATATTTTTTAACTTACTATATGTAAATAGTTTCTTTCGTCATAAAAAGACACGCCATTATCGGCAAGAAAAAAATTTACCTTACAATAACTGCCATTTACGATCTAATTGAAAATCTGATATCAAAAATATTAACGATAGACACTTTCCACAGTGATTATTTAAAAACATTTACTTACGAGTATCTAGTTCTCTATAAATAGATAGTTCTTTCAATTTATACTTCAATGATCGTAAATTCAACTAATATTTATATTTGAACTCCGTTACTACTAAATAATAATAGTCTCTGTTCAGTCACGAGGATTAAAATAATATGTTTTGTATAAAATATTAAAATCGGGGACTATTTGCATAGCAAATTGTATAGTTAAGAGAGATGTAGACTTATAAGAAAGCCCTAGAGTCTTATAAGAAAGTCTTATAGTATTTAAGATGTTTACTCAGGAACATACTTCAAATATGAGGAAATGTTTCAAATATGATTATCATCATGAATTAGTGTTTACTTAGTGTTTCTTATTATATTAGCATATTTTCTTATATGCATCATATTTTACAGAACCATTTTCTCAAAAATCTTAGATAGTGAAGGTAGAAGACTTGTAGGTGTACATTATGCTGGCAAAGATAAGTGCTTTACTGGATTTGTAATATTTTATTTTATAATTTTCCATTCCTTTGTATATTAACCAAGGGAAAGAATATTATTAAAAATCAGCAGCAGGAACGATATTACTAGAAGTTATTTTTATCTAGTGTGATTTTCAATTCAGTGTATGTAGTGAATATTTACATACACTCAATATCTTCCATTGTAATATTCTGACATTAGACCCACAAGTTAAAGTAATTATTAAAATCAAGCATTATTATTTAATAAATAATTCGATTTCTGGTACTTGAAGTCTCAAAAAATTATTAACGAATAATGAAATACAAGTATTATTTCCAAGACCACTGATGATGGGTATTTGGCAATACTCGAAAACTCAATTAATTAAAATAATATAAAATAAATTTTTGTTGTTGTGATTTCACTACTGTTCGAAAAACCTCTTTATAAACATATTAATTATAAAAGTAATTTATTCTTTTAGGCATGTATAAGCATATATTTTGTGATCATCATTCTACTCGGGTAAAAAAGTCAACATTTCTTCTAGACACTTAAAACTTGTAAAAACACAAAATCGGATTTGTAATTAAAACACTTCTTATTCAAAAAAATATTAACTTCTTACCTGCACCACCCATTTTATACATTTTGTCTGTGAGATCACAACAACAATTACCAAACACATAAAGGCTTTTAATTTACTCTACTTAAAATAAAACGCCTGACTTGGACTTTTATTTGGTTTTAAAAAATAAATTGCACACAAGGAGTTTTATTTTTGCTTTCAAAAGTTAATACTTGTTTCTGAGTTTTTCGTTTATAGAGATAATTAATATTTTTTGAGTTATAAAATGAAAAGAAGAATGTACCTGTTTTAGACAAACAATAATAATTTGTATTCCTGAAATATACAATATAAAGTAAATTCAATTATTACATTTTGAATTTTATTTTCAAAGGCGAATATATATAACATATAACATATATAACATATAACATATATAACATATAACATATATAACATATATATATAAAGTATGTATGATACCAAGAATGAAAGTTGCTAGAATGATAATCACATACTTTAATTAGTAGTTAGCCTTTTTACTACTGCTTTCTTTTCTTAAGAATATTTAAAATTATCACTGTATTCCAAGGAGTGTTGAAGTATATAAATTTGAGTGTAGCGATAAAAACGTTCGTTCTTACCAAACAATTTTCCAAATTTAAACTTTTTTTTTTGGCAGCTAGTTTGCAAAAACAAATTTTACTAATTCTTTGTTTTTTTTTTGTTTTTTTTTTGTTTTATTCCATTAATATTACAACTATCAAAGGTATCTTGTAATACTTTAAACGAACGAAATTTGGAAGTTTGAGTCATCTTAAATCAACATTTAAGATAACATGTTTAAGATAATGTACATTTCATAAGATGTCTTAAAATAGTTTTTTTTTTAAACTTGTGAATGCAATTTAAGCTTCCTGGGTGTGTAACTACATCGGGTGGAAAGTATGTCATGATCACTTTCTCTCTTTAACATGTTTAAAGATTTAATGATCACTTACTTACCTTTCTTGTTGAGATTTTAAAATTTAGGAAGTTTTTACCACTTTATTTTGTAAGGACGGAATTTTGTACAAATTCCGCCCTACATAAAACTTATTATTTTTTACTAAAAATCATCTGGATAAAACTCGATTTATATATTTAAACAAATAAACAAAGCCAACCGCGAACATACGCACAAACGACACGCTAAACAAAGCTAACCGCGAACATACGCACAAACGACACGCAAAACAAAGCCAACCGCGAACATACGCACACACGACAAGCATAACAAAGCTGACAGCGAATTATACTTGTGCGGTTGTGCGTGCAATTAAGCAAAGCAAAGTGTCGTATATAAATAGCGGAGATTTTATATGAAAGATCACTTAGCACCGGCACACCGAAACGAGTAGTACTCTACTCCAGCGCTAAGTCTTTCTTTTTTGAGAAGCCCATGGTGTTTTGACGCTAAGGCTTAATAAATCAGTAGAAGTAGATTTTATAAACGCCATTGATGTTTTGACGTCTTTGGCTAGAACTAATTGCGTAGCTATGAAAAAAACCCTTTGATGTTTTGACGTCTTTGGGTAAAAATTATTGAGTAGATTTATAAACGCCATTGATGTTTTGACGTCTTTGGCTAAAACTAATTGCGTAGCTTTGAGAAGAACCCTTTGATGTTCTGACGTCTTTGGGCAAAAATTATCGAGTAGAGTCAAGCTTAAAAACTATTGAGTAGAGTCAAGCTTAAAATAAATTATCGAGTAGAGTCAAGATTAAAATAAATTATTAAAGAAATCCTTTTAATAAATAAAGTTTTGTTTAAAATAATAAACGGTCTTTTTAACTTTCCTTGGTTTACCAGCTTCGAACTGGTCAATAAAACAAATTTATTGCAACGACCCGGACCACGACTGAGTCATACCTCAGCAAATTTAAA